GCTGCCACTTCAGGATCCAAAGCGCAGCTCCATCGACCAGGTTCTTCCACTGGCAGCAGACCAGGCAGCACACCAGCACCAAATCCACCGCAGGTATGGAAGAGAGGATTCTGATCAGGACTGCTTCAGGGAGGGACTCCATCCTTGGGCCAGGCTGGATGGAGCTTTCTGAGAAAGAAGGGGGAAAGGAGTAGTGACACAGTGGTCCTTCAGACATAGGGTTCCTTGCCCTCAGTGATGTCAAACACTGATGCATTATAAAAAAGGGAAAATAAGCATGTTATCTGAAAGCATGATTTTGGGGGCACAGATTGCTTCCTAACCTCAAGGCCTCCTGACCCCTGTTAACTTAATACCCTGAAGCATGTGAGCAGATTAATATTTTATGTTCTAAGTGAAGCCTTTAGTAAAATCCATCCACAAAATGCAAGTAGTGGACATCTGCAGTTGTGGACAGTTTGGCAGTTTCCCAGACTGGAATTAGTCCTTCCAGAAATCTATGCTGCTGCAAAAATCAGCTTTGTAGTAATGACTCCCTCCGCAGAGGGAGGCATCTGGGTGTTTGTCCTGCCCTGAAGAACATCACCGATAACACATGCTGCAGGGCAGTACCTAAACATCAGTGGTGAGCATCTTGCCAACCACTTTTGCAGTGGTTCGTTCTATATCTGAAAGGCTTTCCCTCAAGGGGCTGGTACTTAATCTCCTGAGTCATGAGCCTGTATAAAGTATAGGTCTGGGGATAACCAAAAATAACTCGGTTGATATTCTCTAATATTCCTTTTTCTATGGCCTTATAACCTGAGCAATTAAGTCAGAAGGGTGTGCTTTAACTTCATGTGCTAATTCTGCACTCTGGCTCCCAACAGCTCTCTGCTGCCCTGAGTTCTAGGGCCAGGTGCTGCAGGAACAAGGGAGGATGAGTGTGGGGATTCAGAGCCCCATGGCATCGGGGTGGGATGTGCTGTGACACTGCTTTTCTCTCAGCTGAGTCCCGATGCTGGGAAGCTGCTGAGACTGCAGCAAATGGCACAGATGCAGCCAGACTCCTGAGGAGTGAGTCACTAAGCCGAGGAGAGCGCTAGGAACAAAGCGGGTGACATATCCTGACATGCTACTTGATGAAATATGGCAGTGGCAAATCTGGCAAGGGAGGGAAGAAATAGGGAGTCATACTAGAACAGCATCCTAGATCTCAATGTTCCAGATGCAGAGCTATCGTATGTCCTTTATCTGCACTGCAGCCAGCAGGAGAAAACTGTCATTTAAAATTCCCTGGTTTTTATGGGGGTAGCATTGGGGATTTCCTATTTTTCCCCCTTTCCAACCCTCAACCACAGTCCTGAAAGGGGGTAAAATGTGATTTTTAAAAAAGAAAAAAAAGAGAGGTCATGCTGGTTTCATCTCCTGCAGGGATTTCGCATGCCTCGCTTGCTCTCTGCCTGGTGATGGAGCATCGCTGCTCTCCTTGCTTAGCAAGGATTTCCCACGCACTCGGGAAGGGGTGAGGGTCCCTGGCTGACTTTCCTCTCCCCCTCCGACCCACGCTGTCTCGGCCCCGGCCTGCCACCGGCAGACCTCCCGCGGTGGCTTCCATCCCCTGCCCTGCCCGGGGCGCCCTCTGGTTCCCCGTCTTTCCCCCCCCAACCCTCTTCCCTCCGGCGCTGCCCAGCCGAGGCAGCCCGGGAGAAACCCGCCGCTTCCAGCGCAGCGGCCCGGGCTGCCCCCCCCCCCGC